AATCGAACTCTTGTAGTTGGACGCCGTAAGGAAGTTGCTGAACGATATTGTAAAGCGCTTGCTGAGCGGCCGGGCTCTGCAATTGCGCCAAAAGCTGTGGCAATTGGGCATTGATGGTTGATAGGTCGAAGTAGGGCCCCTGTGGATCTGGAACCTGGATAGTTGCTGGCTCCATTACCGGGCTGGGAGTAGCGAATTGTTGATAGCCCGGGTGTGGCGAACTGCTGTAATCAGAACGGGAGCCATTACTCTCCCAGTCTTCAAGACCAGTATTTGGGGTATTTGGCGAGTATAGTTCGTCCCACTGAAAGTAACGAGAACCGTCGTTGTTGAAATCGTCCATGTAGCTAGAGTTTTATGAAGACGAGGGGATAGAATGGGTAGCAGTAGATGATAGGATGTGATGAATGTAACGAAATACTTCAAAGGAACAAACGAATCCCCTTATATAGGTCAGTCCGGTAGTCCATTTTGCCAGGCTCACACTTCCTGTGCAAATCAAAAATTGGTTGTGGTCGTGTTTTTCTATACAGAGAATGACGCACCTCGAAATCCCGTTGAATATTGTTAGCCTCAAGCCAGACAATAGAAATCAGGGGCAGAAGGCAACGGTCAGAAGAGTACTCTTGGGCCGTGATAGTGTACAAGGTAGCAGGCATCACTGCTTCGCGCCGCCGCTCTCACAACCATCGTATGCCACCCCATAAATTGCATCGGGAGTCGAAGAAATACCGGTGCACGTTCCTTTGCTCTCATTGAATCCAAATTGCACCGACAGGTACCAGGCTAGACCACACGGCCTGGAAGAGGAGTTACTTGCCGCGGTGGATGGATCCCGTATCGATCAACTTCAAACTGTTTTCAACAGTGATGCTTGGAATCTACAAAATCAACCCCTTGAAGATGAGTGGATCTCGGCTCTACTCATTCGACAGTCCACTGGTCCTACAACTTTCACTTGTCCCTTTATAGGCATCTGTCAACAAATTGACAGTCACAAGCCATCTGCAATGACTCATATTGCCAAGCATTTGCGATACAAGGGGTACGCATGTTATGAGTGGTACGTTGATTGCTCCAGCCACGCAGGTTTTGAACAAATCGGAATCACAGTCACAAAACATTTTGGCGCATCTTTGATAGGGATAGACACCTGGGGACTCATAGAGAGAGGATAGTGAAGTGTCCACACTGGTAAGTGACTCGAAAAGTGTATCTACTTCAGCTCACATAGAATGTCCAAGCAATACCGAATTTAGAGGACCGAAGAACATACCTCGTCATATTCGAAATGTTTGTAAAGGAAACTTATCTAGTGATAGTTGAATAGATACGATATCGACCCGCGGGCGTTCGTCTGCATGCCTTGGCGCTTCGGCAAATATGAGCGAGAAATGCTTCTGCCTAGAGCAGAGGGATCATTGAACCCTTTCGACGATTGAAAGCAATGTGTGGCCCCAGTTTGATAAGAGTACTGGTCAGCAAGTCTTGCGCGTTGCGGTCAGGCTTAGCGGCTCCCGAGGACGCCATTCAGTCGACCTCGCCCAAGACCACATTCAGACGGTGAGCTTATTTGAGCCCATCACGACTTGCTCCATATTTGGTAGAGAAACCACGCACTTGGGAACGGATCGAGCACTGGTTTTATTGATGACTGGACCTAGACCCTATTGTCATACCATCTCGATCAGGCAAGCGGTCTTCTCAAGCCGAACGGGTTGATCCAAATGCGCGTTTAGGAGGGTTCGGATAGCATAAGGATGCTTGATACGCTATTATCTTGCCAGAATCCGACGACA